TTTTTTTATATTTAAAAATTGCGTAAAAATACTATAAATCATGATAATTGACAACATAAAATATTTCAAAAATGTTGTATGTGGGTAGTCTTATTATGCCTTAAATAGCGTCAAAGAAAGTACATGTTTCTGATAAAAAAACTTATTCCTTTATCCACACAAACAATCGCTTCAAAAACTCGGTTATTAGCCCCAAAATATACCATTTATATTATTGGGCCCGTGCATAGCACGGGCAACATTATCTAGTTACTGAAATAACACACTCATACTAGGTGAAATTTTCACTAATTGATTCTTTTTGGGTAACTGTTTAGTAAATTATTCTTTTTAATATTTTATCGTAAATTGTGGACATTTATTCACGGTCTAAAGATCATTTTTAAGCAAACTAAAATGTTTGAGAAAACATTAAATTATGGTGTAAAACTTTACAAGTTATTGCAAATGTTAAACAATGTTTTGTCCATAATGTTGAGCAATTGAGCAAATATTTGTACAATGTTTGTGTAAATTAGCCTCACACCACCTTTCAACTTCTCTTCTTTAATTTCTTGCCTATGGTTAAAAACATATAAACTCTAGACTAAAACCCTACTTTACCACATAGAAGGCAACACTCAATTACCTACTAATTCTATACCCTAATACTCGATCTATACACGTTGCCCTATTTAGAGACTCCCCCCCCTCCCCCCCGAAAATTGGGGGTAGGAAAGGAGAAATGAGAAGGAGATTACAAGGTGGGGAATCGAACTTTCACCAATAGGGTGAAACTTCAGGTAGCCAATCAACTAAGCTATTAAGATTTACCATATTTTGGGGTCGACTTATCATGATAACATCCTTAATTTTCTATTTTTAATTTAACTCTTTTTTTATTAGACAAAAAAAAAAGGACTGAAGCCAGCCTGTATGGTAATCATGTTATAGTAGTAGGTGAAAATTCCCATGCTCCACATATAATTGCTTCTCTATATATAATATAAAAAAACAAGCAAATTAATTAAAACACCAACTTCTACTTTGGCAATTACAGTATGTACAATAATACAGCCTTTCATAAACTTAAATAATTGTCAATTTACCCTTTAATTAAGACCAACTTGAATTCCTTTTGATAAATACTAAAAAAATAACAATAATATATTCAATATAATTTTATAAATGGAGTATGAAGAGCATGATATGTATACAAACGTCATCTCAATCTTATGAAGGCAGATAGATTGTTTATGATAGATCCTCAGTTTAATACTACAACAAAAATAACTTTCAGCGGCAATAAATAAACATAATAATATAGAGTGCTAAAGTCTTTATCAGCATTAGTTAAGTGTCATTAGATCCAATGTCGCTAAAAGCTTTAGGGACATATACAAAGATTGCTAATTGCCGCTAAAAATACATGTTTAGCGGCAATTGAGCTATTGCCGTTGATTAATTGCCGCTAAAGATCATTTTTGATGTAGTGTAAGTACAACATTTCAGAACAAATTTGAAAAGAAAATACAATAGTGAAGAAGTCATGTTGAAGATAATGAATAAAAAAACAAGGGAAAATGCATAAGTACCCCCCCAGCCTATGCCCAAAATCCCTGAGACACACCTAACCTTTACTAAGGTCCTATTACCCCCCCGAACTTATTTTTTAATTAATTTTCTACCCCTTTTCGGCATACGTGGCACTATCTTTGAAAAAATTATCAACACGCGCTGGGCCCATAAGATAGTGCCACGTAGGCCGAAAAGGGGTAGAAAATTATATATAAAATAAGTTCGGGGGTAATAGGACCTTAGTAAAGGTTAGGTGTGTCTCAGGAATTTTGGGCATAGGTTGGGGTACTTATGCATTTTCCCAAAAAACAATAATAACGATGAATAATATGATACTTGGAGTTAAAAAAAACAAATGATTATATAATATTGCGATAACCATGCTCCACATTTATATAATTGCTTCTCTATTTAAACAAAAAAAAAAAAGACAAGAAAACTAATTAAAGCACCAACTCTCTACTTTGGCAACTACATTATGTACAATATAAAACAACTTTTGATAATAATTATCATCTTGTCTTTTACCTCTACCAACTTTAATTCCTTTTTTAATATATAAATTTAGAAATTAATAATAAAGCTACATTTCACATGTATAAATACTTGTGTAATTTCCTCTTTTCTTCTTCACTAATCTACACAAAGTTTCTTCATATATATTTTTCTCAATATTGTTTGGAATTTTTGTTTTCTAGAGAAAATGAAGACTTCATTTGCTGTTTTGTTCCTTGTTGTTATACTCTTTAGCTCCTCTTTCATTGAAAATGCAGCAATGGCTACTTCAAGTAAGACTCTTTTTCCACTATTTCTTTTTTAAAAAATAAAAATAAAATTGCAAATAATATTTTTCAATTTTCACATATATATTTTGTATTCTTCCTATATACTAAGTTTATATGATTTACTTTTTTTTTTGTCGGTTTAAAAAAAAAGACATATGTCTATATTCAATACTTAACAATTTAACTTCAAAATGATCATTTTAACCTTAATGAAATGATTTTATAGTCACACAAATATTTATGACTTATTTTTAACCACAAGTTTCAAAAGTTAATTTATTCTTAAACTACGTATACTCAACTCAAACTACATCACATAAATTAAACAGAGAGAGTAAGATTATTATTTTTTTGTGGTCAATGATAGGTTATTGTGACCAAAAGTGCAGTGCAAGATGTTGGAAGGCAGGACTAAAGAAACGTTGTTTGAAGTATTGTGGAATATGTTGTGTTGCATGCAATTGTGTTCCTTCTGGCACATATGGAAACAAGTCTGAATGTCCTTGTTATAGAGACAAGTTGAACTCTAAGGGAAAACCTAAATGTCCTTAAATATTAAAGAGCTAATAAACTTTCTCTTTTAAAAAAAATAAAGAGTTTATGTTTTATACGACGTTGATGTAAAAATATATTTATATCATCAAGTCACTCAAATAATGATATCTATGGATAAAATAACACTTGGTGTGACCTGATAGTGTGAAAAATCTTTATAATTTGAACTCAGAAAATAAACTTGTTTTATTTTTCTTTTAAGTTCTTTAATTTGTCTTTGTATTTAATTGGTTGTTTGCAATAAAATACTAGAAAGAGTGAGTGTATTTATGTGTATCTTAGTTCAAACATGGTTGTAATTGTGTTTCATAGTGGAAAAAAAAAGGAGAGAAAATCTCTATGTTGCTTACAATTTCTCTTGGCATTTGTATTAGTGGATAACATCTTGATGCAATATGTTCGTATGAGATTTAGGTGTCGTAGGATGATTGAGATTCCTTCACCCTTAATTAGAGGTCTCAAATTCAAGCTTTTTGGAATGAAAAAACTCTTGTTGGGAGCGCCGGCCGTCTCCAAAAATGGACCCTGCAATGAGCGAATCCGAATTTACTCAGACCCCAGTACAAATACTAAACACCGAGTGAAAAATAAAAATTAAAAAAATGAGATTGAACCTTGGATTTTACCTTGACAAAAATCCGGTCTTATTAATTTTTATACAAACTTAGGTATAATGAAGCGACCATCCAAACTATGGGAAACGTTGTGATCACACCAAATAAATCGTTACACAAAATAACATTTTTCATAGCTATATAATAACGATTCAACAATATGATACAACAAATATAAGTACGTAACATTCAGAACAATATTGTATTATTTAAAATATCAATACGATACGATACAATAGGTAACAATTCATCATCCTCAATCCATTAGCAATAATTTCCCATTTAATTCATCTTCTTAGCCTTAAGTACTTGAAGCACATTTTGTGCAGTGCAATAAGAAATTGCTTGAACAGTGACCATAGGGTTCACACCAAGGGCAGTTGGAAAAACACTTGTGTCACCAATAAACAAATCTTCAACTTCCCATGTTTCTCCTTTTGGATTTACAACTGATATTTTTGGATCAATTCCCATTCTACAACTTCCCATTTGATGTGCTGAACATATAGGTGTTGAGAGATTTTTAAATCCTCTTGAACTTTCTTCTTTCACAAAACTCTCAAATTCATCAACACTTGATTCTTTCACTTTCAATGTCTTTCCTTTTACATGGTGAGTTCCAATTTCTTCTGCTCCAGCAGCTGCCAAGATTCTTAATAGCTTCTCTATACCGACCTACATCAGTGGCGAAGTTAGAAATTTCATTAAGAGGTATTTAAGGGTAATATTTGACCTATATATAGTACACGGTAGAGGTTTCTCACGAAGAGTGTTCAACTGATCACCCTTCGACATACATATTAGTTATGCCCCTTGCCTTCATGTTAGAACTAAAATATCTAGAATAATTTGCACAACTAGAGTCTGGGGAGGGTAAGGTGGACGATGTAGACCTTATTCCACTACATCAAAAATGATCATTAGCGGGAATTAATTCTTAATTGCCGCTAAATATGTATTTTTAGCGGCAATTAACACTCTTTGTATATGTCCCTAAAGTCTTTAGCGACATTGGTTCTAATGACACTTAACTAATGCCGGTAAAAACTTTAGCACTCTTTATTAATGTCAATATTTATTGCCGCTAAATATAATTTTTGTTCTAGTGTTCCTACCTTTGTGGGGGTAGAGAGGTTGTTTAAGATAGACAACCTTGGCTCTAGAAAATCATGAAAGAAATGAAAGAGTAAAAAGTTCTGATGAAAATATTGAAGAAAGAAAATACTACACAAATATTAAGGATAACAACGTAAAAAAGATAAAATTAGAGTATAAGATAATGCTAGCATAATAGGATAATCAGAGTAAAAGAAATAACATTAGTAATGAAATAGAAGCATAAGATAATGCTAGCATAATACTACTAGTAATTAACTATCCATACCTTAAGATTTTGTTCATCAATTTGATCCAATTTGTATGATATTGAATTTGATGAAATTGCTTCTCCTGAGCCCTTATCTCTTGCCAAAGCAAATATATGTGCAGTTCTTGAATATTTGCACATTCTCATCTTGATATCAAGGCCTGAAATCCATGGCATTACTACTGAGAACATGCCAGGGTGCAATGCTGGTGTTTGTATAACCACACCGTAGCCCGATTCCTCGAAATTCGCGACAACTTTAGACATTACTGACATTATTCCCCCTTCATAGCTCTTTTTCTTTGACTCCGGCCATACTTCAAAATTCTTTACGTTGTCACTACTGTTTGTATCTGGAAAGTGTCCCCACGCGAATACAACCGGATGGACATGTAGGTTTTTACCAATATTTGGATTTTTTAAACCACTTCTCTTGAGCAATGAAGGGGTACTAAGTGCACCACATGCTACAATTGTGACTTTGGATTTCACCATGAAAATTTCTTTCACCCCTTCATGTTGAAATTCACAAGCAACTCCAATAGCTTTACTTTTGTTGTAATTATTTTTGTGTTCATGAATTACCTCTAGAGCTTCACATTCTTGAATTATTGCACCATTGCCTGATTTCACTAAATCAACTAGCCATGTCTCATTTGTCCCTTTTTTACTACCATCTTTACATCCCATGCTACACCAACCACAATTATGATTTGAGGGTGCATTTCTTGGTATATTTTCCACATGGTATCCTAATTCTTCACACCCTTTTCTCAAAATCATGTTTTGAAACCCTTCTTCATCAATCTTATCTTGAACTCCCATTTTTTCGCGAATTGCTTCTAATGCCTCCTTGTAGGATTCACTTTGGAACATTTCCAATTCATAGATGCCACACCATTCTTTTAGAACGTGTGATGGGGTGTCAATTGAGGCGGACCAATTTATCGTTGAGCCACCACCAACGGTCGAACCGGCTAGGAGAAAAACTTCCATGTCTTTGGTCATCATTAGTCCATTTCCAAGGAACATTTGATCCAATGAAGGTCCTTCAAGAAGGGAAAGATTTGTTCTAGCTAGGTAACTTCCTTTTTCTAAAACAAGTACTTTGTGCCCCGCGTTTGCAAGAACACCGGCTATAACTCCACCCCCAGAGCCCGAACCAACTACCACTGCATCACATTCTATGATGAAAGAAGGACAATTTGATGATGAATTTGGTTTTGAGACATGAAACCCTAGTTTTTGGAGCTTATTGAATAGGGCATTTTGTGGTTGTTTTAGGGTAATGATTCCCTTGTAAAGTGGTCCATATAGATGTTCGTCTCGTTTGTCTGAAAATTCTTCGTGTTTGCTTTGCTTACTATTCATTTTTTCTTGTTTTGGTTTCTTGAAATCCGGGTCTTGTCCACAATAGCCTAGTGCTTTCCATGATGGGTTCTGGCATTTCTCATCCACCTGAAAATCTCACCAAGAAAGGATAAGATATAAAAATATGTTTAACTACGTCACATGCTGACAGTATAAAGAATTTTTAAACTATCAAGATATATTTAAGATAATTATAGATAAGTTTTCATGGAAAATAAAATTAGTAAACTAGAAAATAAGACGGATTCCCCCATACGACAATAAACTAATAGCATAAAAGAATATTCTCTATACTGATTATATTCTAATTTATGTAATGTAATTTAATTTGATACGAAATTTACAAAGTAAATAAAGACTTTTAGAACTTACGAGTAAGATAAAATGAGAAGTTTAAAACTTAAAATTAATTTAAAATGTAGAAATATATCGTTACTTTTTTTAACGGACTAATAAGGAAACAATATCACACTTAGTTCAAAAGCCTCAAGCTAATCCATCTTTGTTTTGCTTATGATGTATTTATGTTTTGCAAAGGGGAATTTCAATCTATCTTGATAATGCTAAGGGCATTGAAAAGTTTCTCTAATGTATTTGGGTTGGAAACAAATGCATCACAAAATCAAATATCTATGGAGCAAATATGATGAGTCAATGTGTAAATGATGTCTGTGAGTTAACTGAGTATCAAAAAAAGACTACTTTTCAAGTAATTAAATTTGAGAGTATGTTGCTTTGACGGTCAACTCCTTTAATCCTTTAAGGCTTAGTTAGTAGATCCATATTAAACAGTATCTACATTCTACACTATGGCAAGGTATAGGACAACTCATCCAACTGGAATCGTAGGTTGGACATCGTCAGATCAAATGGTGTTTGTCGATAGTAAGAAACTCCCCAGTAACATTACTATTAATTTTATGTACTTGTATCATTATTAAGATTTTGTAACATTTATAATTTACACACTGATTTTGAGATGCCTTTTTCGTTTATATTATATTGATTTATGATTATTTCCGGTTACATCTTACATACTAGCTCAGTACATTTCATATACTGACTGCATACATTTCTCTTCCCTACATCCATTTATGATGTAGATTTAGACATTCACGCTCAACCTTGTGGCTAGATAGGTTGCAACATTCCAATCAACTAGGCCTCATCATTCGAGGACTTTATGGAGTAGCTAGTAGTTAGACATTTGATTAGAGAAAATATTTATTTAAAGGTAGTTAGGTGTCATGTCCTAGAAAACTCTTTTCTATAATATTTCAGTTAGTAGAGGCTTATAATCAGATATAAATTGTTCAGTCTTGTGGATCTTTTGATTATTTTTACTCTAGCCTTATATTAAGTATATGTTTCAGATAAATGAATTTTAATTTCCGCTTGCATTTTATAAAATGCCAGATCAGTTCATTAGCAACATGCTAATACTTAGCATCGTTTGAAGTTATTTGTGATTTTGAGTGCCGATCACACCTAGAATATGGACTCATATCATAATAAAAAATCATTGAATATGTGATATGAAATGAAGTTGCGGTAGCAAAATATACGTGGAACATTGCTCAAAAGGCTGATAATCTACGTCAAGGGCACTGACCGGTGGCAATATGATATTCCACATGATTGTTATTGGTATTGAAAAAAAACCCTATCATATAAGGGATAAATTTTGTTTGTGAATAATCATAAATAGATAGTTATTAATCATATCAATCACCACATAATTATGTCATATGTTAAAGGCATAATACATAAACATGATCCTTAACTTGGCTTCAACGGATAACTATATCCTCCAACTTTGAGTGTGCACAAGTAGACACTTAAACTTGTATAAAATTGAACAAGTAGACACACGTGTCCTACATGACATAATACACGTAGGATGCCATGTAGGAACCAAAATTGTCATGTAAAACGAATGTGTCCATTTGCTCAATTTTATACAAGTTTAAGTGCCTACTTGTGCACACTCAAAGTTAAAGATCATAATTGCCAGTTAACGCCAAGTTAAGAGTCACGTTTATATATTATGTCTATGTTAAATTTGTAATGCTTCCTTATATTTGACAGTAATATAATTCTATAAATAGTGATATAACATATATTGTTTACATTACAGAATAGAAAATAGACATTTTCATTAATTAAAAAATAAATATATGTCAAGTCATAATATCATAAAGAAAAAAAAAAATTTACTACTAACTTAGGGACCACAAATACTATTTTCCATTTATAAAAAGATAAGTGTTTAGATATATTCCTCATTATAGCACCGAACTTGGAGGAATATCATAACTATCCTTCGACAACTATATATTTAGTGTAATTTTATAGGTGAGATTTGAAAATGATAATATGCACGTTGCTTATCTCTATCTTATGAATATCAAAAGACTATTTCTAATAAACCTTCGGATCAAGAAAAGCATATAAAAAAAGTAAATATATAAAATAACTATAATAGTAAAAGTCATACTGAAAATAATAAAAAATAGTAATAGCAATGATAAATAATATTATAAAACTATCCTTAGGACCAAAGATAATAATAATCATAACTACCCTCAAGTGTAGGATACAGAAATAACAGAAAACGGGACCAAAGAATGTCAAATGCACCTCATGACAGAACAAAGTGAGTTGGCAACTTTAATTTAAAGGAAGGAAAACAAACTATTATTTTTCATAACTAATTTCAGATCTACTTACCCACAAATGTACTGCCTATATTTAATACATATATATAGGCAATACATTATATTTTTAAATTTTAATATATATGTACATTAATTTATATCCCTCAAGAAGTTGTACTTCTTGTAACTACTAGGCTTGAGAAATAGCCACGTTGAACTTTGTAGCAAATATAACCATATATATATATATATATATATATATATATATTGTTGGTATAACTACCTATAATAAGAGCCTAGATACATGCCTGATTATAAGTTCATGTGAACTTAGTAGCTTTTATTCATTAATTTAAGACTTAGTCGGACAGTTATTATCAAAAAATAAAAAGAAAATTGTGGTCATTATCGGATTTAGAATTTTCATTAAAGGAGTTCGAAGAAAAAAAACAGTATCTAAGATTTGAACTTGGAACCCCAAGGTGAGGTTTGAACACTACCACTAAATCAATGTCTAATCTTACATTTAGGAGGTTCAAAATCAATATATAGACATCAATTTTTTTTTAAAAAAATCTTATATATATAATGTAATTTTTTATCGAAGGAGCTCAGGTGATCCCCTCAACTATCTCTAGGTCCGCCCCTGATTATGGTAGAGTACTTCTTTTGTTGTTTAATTTGATTTTCAAATTTCTTTAGGAGTACTCTAATTTAAAGTTATGTAAATGCTTACAATTTGATTTCTACTTTTTGAAGGAGGTAAGTATGCTTCCCTAGTCTCCCTCCGTCCAACAGTAGTTATCCACTATATTATTTTAGAATATTTAATAATACTTGTTCACTTTATAAAATTAATGAATAATTTACACTTAATTTCTAATTTATTCTTATCATTAATTATAGTCATTTCTCTATTACATTTTTCAAGATATTGTATTTATTATATTCAAAAGGTGATATAATAAATTACTCTTCTATTTATAGTTTCTTAAGAAGTGTACAAAGTTAATAGTGGACATATAAATTAATGAGGAAGAAAATGAGGGACCATGCATGTGGAAAGGATGTCATAAAACTCTATTTAATGTGTTGGTGTACAGTGAATGCACTTTTAGTGGTGAATAGGCACCAAAAAAAGAAAGGAAAAAAGATATTAAGTGACAATCGACCTCAAATCTTTTAGGTAAAAAATTAAATATTAATTCGCCCCTAACTACCTACTATAAATGTATTTTCATGTGTGTCATATAGCTCATATCTATGGAAATCTTTTGGTCAGAAAATTTGATCAGAATTTGATTAGAATTTGGCCAGAAATAATATATATATTATTTGTTACAACATTTTGTAAAAAATTGGATGAGGCTCTTGCTGATATTAATAAGAGCCCGTTTGGATTGACTTAAAAAAAGTAGTTTTTAAGTCAAAAATAAAAAGTTAAATTGAAATGACTTTTAAGTAAAAAAAATAAAAAGTAGCGGGAGACCTACTTTTGATTTTTGACTTATTTTAATTCATTTTTTACCTTGTCAAACACTTTCTAACTTATTTTAAGTCATTTTGAACTTATTTTAATTTATTTTTTTATTTGCCAAACACTCCAGAAGTCAAAAACTGACTTAAAAGTCTAATCTAATCTAAACACCCTCTAAGATAGTTTATTAAATTAAAACACATATTTTGAAATGAAGAAATTAGATGAGATTGAATGTCTTCATTTTTTCATAACAATTTTGTCAACCTTATGACGAATGAATGGATTAATAAGACAAAAAAGATATTCCATAAAAGGAAAGAAATGGGCAAAACCAAAAAGCAAAAATACAATTATAGCATGCAGCCGTACGTCATGTGTAATTAAATACAATTTGAACCCACCTTCAAGGTGGTTGATGCAAGTGGTACGTTCACCATTAAAGCACAAACATAACCATCATAGATTCTTGTGGTTCGATTTTTTTTCTCAACTCAACGTATAGAAAGAGTTTAGTACATTTAAACTGTTTTTATTGGAATGAGTTTACCTTATATTTAAAGGTAGTGTAAGAGAATTTTTTAGCCATAAAAGATAACTATACTTAGAATTAAAGATTTCAACTTTTATACACTAACAAGTTAAAAAAATACTTTCACTATTAGATCACTTGAAAAGTACTAACTATAAGCATATAACAGTTCAATCTGCTGGTGATATTATCCGTTTTGGGCTTAGATTCGCACGGCTTTAAAACGTGTCACTAGTGGGTAAGACTTGCTTATTTATATATTCAACATATTTCATGTGTTTTGTCGATGCAGGACTTCTTATCTTAAGTTAAGGTGTCACATACACCTCCTCTATGGACTAGCGTCCTAGCTGAGGTTTGTCCCCACTGCATTAGAGTTTGTCTAGATTCAGCACTGAGGTTTGCCCCACTGTATTGGGATTTGCCTAAACTCACTTGAACTCTGGCCATGCCCCCGACAACACATAAATTTACATATTTATATTGTTAGTGCATATAACTTAAATCGTACCTGAGTGAAGAATACAAGGAGAGTTAGAACTTTCAAGGCAACAAAGAGAAGCTTGATGAGTTTGAAGTTGCTGCATGACCATGATTGAACTATTTCTTCCCTCTTGTTTGGTGAAACTCTAGAGAAGTTTTGCAAGTATGGGAATTGGCTTGATAAGCTTGCCTTACCACAAAGTATGAAAGTTCCTATCCTTGTTGATAGTAACCATAGAGCTAATTTGCATAAGTTTAGCTTAGGGTGTTGTATTCTTTCACTTACCATCCATGCAAGCTACAAATTATAATTAAAAAAAAACAATTTTAAAAGATTTATAGGGGAATTAGAAACATATATGGGAAAATTGTACCCAATAAAGGATGATAACAAGTAGATTAAAAAAAGGATGTGACACTAGGGATCAATAAATCAATTCTTGAAGAGGTTATTTTAATTATCCTACTTGATCATTATAATTTTTTGAGTTCATCGATTAAAATCATGTAGCTCCACCCTTCGTGTGTCAAATAATTTACTTTTCCTATGAATATATTTGGCTCAAAAAGGGTGGTCAAGTTAAATTACACTTCAAAAATGTCCGGAGAGCTATAAGGTCTTCGTAAGGTATAAATGTGTAGCTGGAAATTCGATTATTATGCCTTTTTTCCAACCAAAAAAATGAAACAATATGAGTGTTGTAAAACAAGTTTTGTTTTTTCTCTTCCCTATACTTTAATCCCCCAACCCCATCCCACCCCACCAAAGAAAATAAAAAGGAAATTTGAGAAGTCTTACATGTTGAGGAGTTCCATTCATGGAAGCAGAAGTGTGAAGGAATTTGATGACAGAATCATCCATATTTTCTTGATGAAGAGAATTAGTATCAATGGATGGCAAGAAAGTGTCACAAATAGCACTAAGTGAATCCATTTGACTAAAAGAAAGTGAGCCAAAGTGTCCAGTTTTTGCAACATCCTTCCCTTTCTCCATATTTCCACCATTTTGATAAGCCATATTCTTTAGTTTTATTTTTCTTCTATTTTATTTGATAAGAAAATTATGTGAATTTATGAATGAAAAAGAGTATACCTAACCTCAATTATCACCACGAGAATGGGCACCATATATAGGGAGAGGGTGTTATTTCTTGTGTTCTAGATAATATCGACGTACCATATTGTGGTCCATGTAGAAAAATTGGTTTCTTAAAGAATTGGTACAAGTAAATCTTGATCTCCTTTATAAAACTTCTTTACTAGATATATCAAAATTATCGTTAACACACACTTTTATAAGCTAAAAACAACAATAACGGCAAGCGGGATCTGAAGAGCTGAGGATGATGTGTACGCATAGTCTTAATCTCATTTTGTGAAGGTGTAGGTTGTTTATAATAGACTCTTCTCTTAAGTAAGACTTATCAAAACCAGTAAGAAAAGAAAATGTTGTAGTAAAAAAACTATGTAAAAAATAACGGAGAAAGGGACTATAGCAATAACAAATAATATGACAACCAAAGAAAAGGAAACAACAAGTAATAAAAAAAGATATATAGCTAACCTTCTACCTTAATTTTTTACCTTCATACCCTTACCGCACTTTTATCAACTAATTACAATTAATTAATGTGTATTTTCACCTATTTCAGATTCGTGCCCTGCAGGGTCCATTTGGGGGGAAGCGCTCCCTACCAAGGATTTTTCCATACCCAGATCTCAGGGCTCAACCAAAATCTCTGGTTAAGGGAAGAACATCCCTATCTGCTAAGGGTGGCAACGGAACCGGTAACGGAACTACCGGACCGGGACGTTCCGGAACCGGAACGGAACCGGGCACCACGGGCCGGAACCGAACCGGAACCGGGACGGACCGGAACCGGTAATTCCGGAAAAAAATCCGTGTACCCGTCCCGGACCGGTAACGGACCGGTAACGGACCGGACCGGACCGGACCGGAAACCGGGTCCAACCGTTAAAATTATAATTTTTTTATTAAAATTAAAAAATTAGGAACATT